GATGCCATTAGAGATGTGTGAGGGCAGGATATTCACCATATGCACATTAGGAGATTCCTTTCAAGCAATGAATGTATAAAATCGATCCCATCTATGAGCACTACTCAGAAGAAACACTGATCATACTCCAAAAAATGTGAGAAAGACACTTAAAGAAATATTCAAGAAAGTGAATGCCAATGACCAAATCAGGATGACATTGACATGTAATCATCACCCAAATGTTTAACTTCAACTATTTAGCATGAAGCCCAATCAAATGATGAACAACATGCTACATCCATCTAGATCTATGAAGCACGGATACTTCGTCATGGTCGTCGTACCCATATCGGATATAATACTCGATGATACGTATCGGACACGCATTATCCATATCCGATAATTAATAAAATATGTGAATACTTTGCGGATACTTTTAAACATCAAGTAAGATGTACAATTTTCAATTTTAAGCTTTACCCCTTCTTTAGAGTTCACATACAATATAAAACACCAACAAAATTCTATTTGATTTTGAAGATACGAGTGTTTTTTAAGTATTATCTATTATTAAATGTTAAGAGAGTATAAAAAAAATGAGTCACTTACACTATACTTTTAAAAATAAATATTTGTAAAACGAACTAGTTAAATGTGGTTATGGTTCCTTCAATTGGTCATGCTCATTTTATGAACATATCATAATGAGACGATATTACATCATTTTCATGGTAAAAATTCATAATTTTACTTACTAATGTTAAAAAATTATTGAAAATTTGTAATTTCTAAGTCGTTAAATAATAGTAAAATATAAAATATATTTTATTATAGACGTATCCTGGCCGTACTCGTATCCTGTTTTTTTAAATTTTGTCGTATTGCCATATCCGTATCGTATTGTACCCGTATCACGTATCCGTATCCGTACTTCCTAGATCTAGATCTATAACAGGTACTATCATCTAAATGGAGTATGCCATGTGTTTTCACATAGCATGTACACTATTATGCTTGGTATTTTACAACTCCATAATAAGTCTTTCCAAATTGCCCATGGAAAACCATCATCATTTATTAATCATGTCTTGCTTCAGCTTATCACCATAAGCTTTCAAGATGACTCCAAATTATAACCAAAAGAGAGCAATTCAAGGAAGCGAAACATACGTTGCCTTCTGCATGGCCTTCATTGCAGCTGCTCCAGTTCTCAAAGCATCAACTGTCTCTGTTGTAGCTTTTGCACCTTCTAGCATTATCATCTGATATCCAAGCTCATATAATGTTAAAATTAGCAATCAATCTTCATGAGAACATCATGGCCACATCACATAAAGCATTACTATATTCTATAAATTATTAAGAGAGTACCTGGTCATGAATGCGCAGTTGAAAATTTCCAAGAGTTTCAATTTGCTGTTCATAAAGTCTTTTCTTCTTTAAACATTGAATTGCAGCTGAATATTTACAACAATGAAGAAACTCAACAATGAAACAACCAAATTGAGAATGAAAAAAGTTTTAACGGCACACTATTGACTTTGAAAGATACAAAACAGAAATTAGAAAAGTGACATAATCCTTCTTGGTCGTGCCTTTTTTAGATTAGTTTGTAAATTGTAGGTATTTCAAGTATAAAAAGTGTAGATAAGAAGACATGTACATGATTACACGACATAATAATGATAACTGGGATCAATAAGAGACCTAGTGTAAAGACCATGACGGAAAGCCCCATCGCCATTTTCTTAATTTCCCACCATTGCCATTTTCTTAATTTCCCATCATCGCCATTTTCTTAAATAATACATTTTAGCTCATATAGCCAAAATGTTATTATTCAAATGCCAATAAAAACATTAAAGATTTGACGACATTAGATATTATGAACCAAGCTTTATGGAGATACCAACTGACTTCAGAAGCATACCAGCACCCCTAAGTATCACTCTCTTTGTTTCTCCTACCATTTGAAGCATATATTATTCCCTTAACCATCTAAATGGTCCTTATGAATCAGATGCAAATCAAATTCAAAGGTCAAAGCAACCACAGAACACCCAAAAGCCCCTTCAAACTACACAAACACAAATACGAAAAAATAATCACGAAAAATTAATCATAGCATACAAAGACAAAAACAATTTCACAACCTAGTGGAGAATCTAAGAGATCATAGATCATATATTTAGTAACTCTAAAAAAATATGCCAAAGCTTATGATCTTTTCACAAGCATTCATAAATCATACCCTTTTTGTTTTTTGCTTTGGTAAATTCCCTGGCCCTTTCAACCTCTGCAGAAGCCTTCTTTTGGAGAACTTTCTCTTTTTTCTCTAACATTTCGAGTGTCTACAGAGAATACCAAAACCAATATTTAGTAAAAGGCAACCAGTGCAATGAAGCTATAAGAGACATTTGGTTACTCTGTGTATTTGTGTGTGTGTGTGTGTTTGAGACAGAACGAGAGAGAGAGAGAGAGCTCTTTAATGGGCAAAGAAAAAAAATTGGCTAGGACAAATGACAATGACGAATTACTAATTAATCAACATAAGTAACTAAGACACAACAACATGGAATAAGTATTCCAAATTACAACATATTCCTGTAGAAGAGCAAGAGTTTATCTCCTGGTCTCCCTTTTCAATTGTTGAATAACTTAAGATTTTCTTTCTCAGACAAACACGCATTAAACCACTAAAGAGGGCTTTCCTAAAAGGAGGACTATTGGGTTATCGGTGAAAGAAGAACGGGAATTGGGAGAAAATTGGAATAATATTATTGTTTTGTTAACCTTCTAGTCACCCAGAAAACATGCTTAAGGAAATAAAGTGAAGTGGGTGATAATTCTAACTGTACAAGTGAGCGAGAAGATTTTTATCCAAAAAATTAGAGAATATTTTATTGAGTCTGGGTGGTTGAAATAGTAATTCTTCAAGTCTGTTCCAAATAATGTTTGTACATGGGGCAAGCTTCTTGTGAAAATAGGACTCTTTCAATAAGGGACATATATAACTATGGCGGCTATGGGTTCTGAAAATATAGGTTAGTTTCATCATTGACTGGTAGTAAGATCTAATAGACTTTTGTCATGTTATAGAGAAAATAAAACGACCAGTTCTAAATTCAAAGAAGAACATTGTCACTAAAAGCCCATTAACATAACTGGTGAACAACATTTACATAGATGGAACAGGAGAAGATTTTCACTATGAACAGACCAAGCTGCTTATGCACGCAGACGGTCAACAATGTGCCACAAAAGCCACAGGTAGATTAATAAGTGGCCCCAAGAGGACATCCCACAATTGAGATACCAGATCGAAGAATTGTCCCAGTGACCGGCAGCACCAAGTCACCGACACTAGGGCATATGATATATCCATAGAGCATTTATCATATTTGATGTGGAGGCAAATCTATAATACTTGCATGGTAGATCCCAACATGAGATAATTAGACATAATCTCAAACTACAATAGTAAAAAGCAAAACCTAGAACCTTCGCAGCATCAAAGAGCTCCCATTGTATATTCCATAAACGGCATAGCAACTAATAATCAATGAATTCAGCAAGAAAAATCAGATCTTTACACTTCACAAGTCCCATTGACAACAATACAAAGCCTATGCCGAATAAAATTCTCACATAATTTCAATTCCAGAGACACTATTCTACCATAGAAATTAATAATCCCTTTTTTAAATCAATTCAACAAGAAAAATCATATATTTAAACTTTACAAGTGCAATGATACAAAGCCTACACTGAATAATTCTATGTACAGTTCAACAAAAAGAATGGAAATCGTGTCATAATCACAAATTATACAACTTACCTCGTTTAACTTGTCTATCGTTGTTAGTGCATTAGTTTCTTGCTTAGGCTTGCCGAAGATTCGCGTAAACATTATTGATTGAACTTTAAGACTGAGACAATTCAATTATTCAAAAACCTGCATAAAAATCAGGCCCTTTATTTCAGCAGAGGAATCATCCGATGATTCCGATCTACCAACACATAAACTGATCATGTACATACATATATGCCAATAGACCAAAAATACTGACCTGTGAATTGAATGAAGGCTAAGGATTTTAATCAGAGAGACCCAAGCGAATGAAGATGATCGATTTGAGATTACAAGATCAGCGGAGGAGAGAGAATTGAATTTACAGTGGAAAGGTCCCGGTGTTTGGAAGACTCCGTGATGATGCCGATTATGGAGAGAGAAAGAGATAGTAACTAGTCGTGAGGAAGTTTATCAGACAGACTAATGACTAATTATCGTTAAGTTATATTTTTTATTAAATATGAACAGGGGAATACATGTATATTTTGAGGAAATTATCCTCGTGAATATTAAAAAAAAAAATACTTTGAACATAGAGGACAGCGTGAAATCGAATGGTCCATGGATGAGTGGCTCTTGTGTCGATCGGATACAATATCTAAAAAATTTTAAGTATTATAATTTTATCTATATAATAAAGTAGCTTACAATTCAAATATTAAAAGATAAATAAAATGACTTTTGTTATTCGCTGTTTAGATCGCTTTAAATTTTACTTTAAAATTAATCTAACAACTATTATCAATACCCTAAATTTAATAAAAAAAATAGACTTTTTAATGATGTATTTGGTGTGACTTTTTAAAATTACTTATATAAATTATTTCTTATAAATACTTAAGAAAAAATATTGTGTTTGAAATCATCCCACCACCACCACTGTTACCGTCACCGCCACCACAACCACCGCCCCCACCCCTATCGCCACTGCCACGACCACCCCCCCCTCTACCACCGCCGTTGCAACCGGCGCCACCACCACCACCCCTCTACCACCGCCGCTGCAACTGCCGCCACCACCACCCCCCTACTATCACCTCCACCTCCATTCACCCGCCATCACCACCACCACCACTGCTACCCTCACCGACACCACCAATGTTGTCGTCGCCATTACGATCACCGTCTCTTAACACCACCACTATCGCCCACCACCTCTAACCCCCACTATAAATCGATGTTTAAATTCATTTATCTCTTCTCTATATTTGTGATTTGATTTTGGATATGAATATAAAGATATTTATTGTTTACTATTTTTTATTACTTTATGCTTGAAGGCACAGACAGAAACTAATACTTTGATATATAAATTATTAGCAGCGTCTCATTTGATGCACGATAAATGGTATTTTCAATTTTTTTTATCACAATCCTAAACATCCCTAATTATCGCCACCCTCATCCCCACTTTTACCTCCAATTGCAACCACTCCCCCCCCTCCCATCGCAACCACTCAAACCATAAATATTATTGAAAAGTCATATATTATTATGCTAAATAAAAGAAGATAAAAAACTTAAAAGATCAATGCATTGTTATTAAATAAAATTTATATTATAAAAATTTAGTACTTTATAAAAAAAAATAGCCAAGAATAACAAGGAGTTTGAATGAAATTGAGAGTTTAGTCATATTAAATTTATAAGGAAATTGAGAACTGATAAAGAAAGTGAAAGACAATCACGTCAAATCTTTGAGTTTTTTTTTGTTTTGAAGAATTATATCTAAACTCTTTAAAATTTATCACTTAATTACTTAGACCTCTAATATTTAAAATATTACACATAAATCAACTGAAGTTTGTACGCGTATAACATTTAGACTTTTACTATTAATATCTATTAGAATATTTATTAATAAATTATACATAGATTTTTTAGAAATTTATAGACGTGTAATACTTAAATCTCTCAAGTTTAAAATATTATACTTAGACAAAAAATAATCAAATCAAATATAAAATATAAAATATTTTGTAACCAAAATTATTGTTCCATTATATTATTTATTAAAATTAAATTAAAAAAATTACAATTAGTATACAATTATTTTATCTATTGGAATAAAACTAAAAAAATAAACAAAGGGTCAAATTGTAATAGACATAATATCTTTTATCTTTAATTGAGATATTTTGGTCGTTTAATAGATAATATAATTATATACTAATTATAATTTTTTTTAAGAAAAATTAGATTTTTATTTTTAATTTTATATCAATAAATAATATAATATAACATGAATTTTGATTGTAAAATTTAAAATAGTTAATATTCTATATTTAATTAAAATATTTTTTATCTAAGTATAATATTTTAAATTTGAAAGGTCTGAATATATCTATTACATGATCAAATTATCTCAATTAAAAGATAGAAGATATTGTGTCCATTACAGTTTGACTTATTATCTATTTTTTTAATTTTACTACAATAGATATTATAATTGTATATTAAATATGATTTTTTGGACCCATGAGTTAATTAAAGGATCTGGGAAGGGATTTGGTTAAGAGTAATTTTGATTAACTATGTTTGAATATAATTTATAAATTAAAAGGAAAAATTTCAAAACAATAAAATAAAATTGTATTTAGAGTCATTTGCACGTGACATCCTCACAATTTTAACTATTATACTAAACCCTCCTTAACTTAAAAATAAATTGCAACAGTGGAGGTCTGGATTTATAGAAATACCATTTAGCTACTTAATTTTCATTTCAATACCCTTCTTCTACCTCAACCCTTCTCTCGATACTTTTCTATTTCTCTCTTATACCTTTACTTTCACACAAACTTAAGCCAATCGTCACAAATTCACCAAACCCACCATTAATCTCCCCACACACCTCCATCGATCGCCAAAAGATCAACAAAAATATAATTTTATCACAAAAAAAAGTGGAGGAGTTTCAAAAAATTGGGTCACAATTCATAAAGGAAGTTCAGAAAATCTGACTGCAATGAAATTGTATAGAAACTTCACCACTGTGCTGGACAGAGCACCATTGGGGTGGTGGATGCAAATGTAATGGAGTACTATGGGGGGTTTGTTTTGAGATGAGTTGTCATCCATGTTCTGGGAAGGGTTTTGTTTTGGTGGGTTTTTTTTATTGGGTTGTTGGATAGTGAAAGTTTTAATGTGCTGGGTGGTGACGTGTGGAGAGAGGACAGAGATGACTAATGATGGTGAACTGTTTGCCGGTGATAAGGGGGGAAAGAGAGAAACACATGAAAAGAGGAAGAAGAGTAGTGAGGATGTTTTTGAAATTTTGGACAAAAAATATTTTTTACAAGTCAATTATGTTTTTGTGATTTTGGTTTGAATTGTTCTACTCGTCGATGTTTTCCCTCTAAAAGAAATTATCTTCAAACTCTAAATAAACCCGACTATCTTAATATAGTTAGAGAATGTTTAAGAACTCTTAGGCATGCACTCGAAATTTACAATTACTAAAAAAATTTCATAGTTTACGAGTTAGAGTAAACGTGTGTTCGGTTTTCACTAATCGAATGCAACCGGAGTGATCATTCAAACATCTTCATAATTACTTGTCTTCTATTTGAACGTGTTTCAAATGTTTACAGAAAAATGAATTTTAATCAGATTTTATGTAAAAATATTATTTAGGATTTATGTAGGATAATTTTAGTATTTTAGATGATTTTTTTTAATTTTTTGTTAAAAACGGTGATTTAGCGGCAAGTGTGTCAATAGTGTTTAAATATAAATTCACCCGAGATATAACTATCTAGAGAGGTGCGGATAATAATTACCCAAAAAACTTTTGGGGGTCGAGATGTATTTTTACTATTTACCATGGGGAAGTTGGTAGTTTCCAAAAAAAATTACCAGCACAGAGGAAGCGATAACTTCACTCAAGGTCACACGAACGACGGTCACAGGTCTCTTCCAGCTCCATATTGTGTTGACACTTCACACCTTCTTGCCTCCCTCCTTCTCTCTCCTCAGTCACATCGAGACAGAGAGATCTAATTTATTTTTGATTCTCAATTTCATTCGTTATTCCAACTCAAATTAGCTATAATTCTGGTTCAGATCTATTTTATACCATTTCTAACAAATTAACCCACACATTGCGATCTGGTTGTTTCCTATTTCGATTTCCAGATCCGACCATGGATTTCATGAAGGTGATCGATCAAACTGTCCGTGAAATGTGAGCTCCATAACTTTTTTTTTCTTTTTTTCCTTTCTCTCGTGTTATTTTCAGCTGATGTGAATCTGTGTATAACGTAATTGGTGTTAATTTCATATATAAATCGTTATGCATTTGTATATATTTTTTTGGGTTGCAGAAAGAGGGAGGTGAATTTGAAAGTCCTCAAGGTGCCTGAGATCGAGCAAAAGGTAACAAATACTAGCATATGATTAATGATTAAATTTTCAGCTTTTGGATTGAGTCGATTTACGTTTATGTAAATGTGGGTATCCTCATTGAGGTTGAAAATATTGTACATGCAATTTTTTTTTTGGAATTTATGTGTTTTTTTGATAATCGAGGGACGGTGAAAGCAATTTAATGGGTTTTGGGCTAGAATTCGACTCATAATATAAATTACTAGCTCAGGAGACTCTACATACACGAAATTAGTGCATTATACTTTTTTCATTTTTTTATTTCTTGAAATTCGTTGATCATTCAAACAACTAAGGGAGTATCCAGATAACGTTATGATCAAACAACCGAGGGTTGTTTGCATAAGTTTTATGATTGTATCAGCCACTGTAAGGAATCAAACAGATCAATGTTTTTGCCTGATCAGAAAATGAAACACTTAAAAGAAACTATTATTTAATGACCGTAGAAGTGCATTTCTCTTATTTATAAAAATCGTGAGAACTACAACCTTCAGCTTATGGGGTATGTTGGTTCATAATTCATGGACAATTCTCGGGCTTGTTTTGTGAAAATTAAAGAGAGTGTGAGTTTGGGTTGCATTAGTTGTAGAATGGGGAGTGGGTGGAAGAGGGGTTGAGATGAAGAGATGACTGCACGCTGAACTACTTTCTGTTATAGCATTATGCCATTGATTAGTAAGAGTATTAGGTGGGAATATGGTGAGCAAGTTGTGTATTAGCTGCCTATATGTTCTCATGAATTATCACATTTCACGACACCAACTATCACATGACACCATTTTTTAACAGTCCATAAGTACTTTCCAATAAAAAAAATTAACTCCTCGATGCTAGAAGCACGGCCTTCTGGAATGTTTCTGGATGTAGCCAGTTGTAAAATAGAGTGGTGCCAGGTTGTCATTGCCATACATCTACAAATAGAGTGGTGCCAAGGTAGTCTGTAGTCATTTGCTCTTGTACTTCATTTCTGATTTATTTTTTGAGGGGTTTCCTCTTCAAACATGGTATGAGCTCAGATTTTAATTTGAAGTAATGAATTATTTTTCTAGCACACATTTGAATCGAAAAATGTCAAAACAACGGTCATTAAGGAGCCCCTGTTTTGGGGCTGATGAAGTTGCTGAACCTGAGTTTTGCTTAGGTTACGAACTCTGAATACAACTTCCCCATTCCTGCAAAAAAAATGTCATTCTGAAAAAAATTAGAATATATGTATTAGCTCCTTTGTTGAATTCAGACATAATCAGCACAAGTACTTTCTGGTTTTGGTAAAGCCAGTACCATAATTTTTCCCATCTACTGTATATCTATGCAAACATAAAATATCAACTTTGAATTTCCTATTGTCTGTTGTTCAGCTGTCCTTATCTTGCTGCACCATTGTTATGTCTGGACTTTATCTGCTTTGCAACATAATTCGTGATACATATTTCTTCGTTACACATGCAAGAAAAGTAGCTTCCTAAGTTTCTTGGCAATTTGGCCGGATCATTCCATACTTTCTTTTTCCAAACGAATAGCAGGGCCAGAAATGAGGATAATGCATTACAGGACTTGTCTATAGATTGCACGATTAAATGCGAATTAATTTTCTTTTTTCAAATTGGTCATTCTTAAAATTTGCTGTTTCAATTACTTTTTCAAATTAATATAGGTACTGGATGCAACGGATGATGAACCTTGGGGTCCTCATGGTACTGCATTGGCAGAAATTGCGCAGGCCACAAAAAAGTTGTATGTTAATATTTTTATTCAAATCATTGGTCTTACATTCTTCCTTTTTGTCTCCAGTACCCTTTTGGTACAGGGAAAGATGATTTACTTTTGATTTACATGGCTGATCTGCTGAGATATTCCCCAGCTCTGAATGTCAGATGGTTATGAATGTTCTTTGGACAAGATTGACTGAAACTGGCCATAATTGGCGTTACGTCTACAAGGTACTACTTTCAAATTTTCTCGCTTCATCCTTTCTTTATGGCTAGATGGTGCAAGAAAAACCGTACATCCTCTGATGAATTTTCACCTTTATTCATTTTTGGCTTTCTTTTCCTAAAATGTCTAAAACCTTTATCTTACCAGGCATTGGCTGTTATAGAGTATTTGGTGGCCCATGGATCTGAACGTGCAGTTGATGACATAATAGAACATACTTTCCAGATATCGGTTTGTATCCTACCTTATTCTGCTATACTTGCTCATTTAATCCTTAGTCGATTAAGATTAATTCTGACATTTTCTTGTCTCCCTTTCTTCGTTTTATTTGTGAAGTCTCTCGCAAGTTTTGAATATGTTGAGCCAAGTGGGAAGGATCTGGGAATCAATGTGAGGAAGAAGGCAGAAAACATCGTGTCTCTTTTGAATGATAAAGATAAGATTCAAGAAGTTAGAAATAAAGCTTCTGCAAACCGTGACAAGTACAGTCTTCTGGACATGAGATTATATATGCTTACTTAAAAGTCTTCGAATTTCAATGTTGCATTAGAAACCCAGGAATTAAATGAGTCTGCATATTGCTAGGTACGTTGGACTTTCATCGTCTGGAGCATATAAGTCAGGTTCATCCTCATTTAGCAGCAGCAGCAGCTTCCAGAGTAGTGGTCGGTATGGAGGATTTGGAAGTACAAGAGATGCTGATATATCAGGCGATAATTATAAAAACGGGGATAGTGATAGAAACCAGGTTAAATTTGGTGAAGATAGGTTTGACCATGGTACATCTGTTAAGTCACGTCGAGGGGTTACAGGCGATAACAAAGGGAACTCCTCGAGGAAGGGGTCTTCTCATTATGGCAGGTTTATATTGTAACTTTTATTCTTTCTTTTGTTGATGTATTGCTACATTCATTGTTGTTTAGGTAGTAGATTAAATGCTGAACATATTATCAATTTAACTGGGTTTAGCATCTTTGTCATACATTTTGGCCTTGGGCTCCATAGGTCTTCAGCACATTATGTGTTGTATCAGTACCACAGGCAAAAGCAGTTAGCCTTCTGTGAATGGTTACAGTTACTGCATTTTGCTTTGCCTCTTCTGATTTTAGCTAAATCTTGAGGGTGTTTATTAGAACGGGTCAAGACACTTCGGCAGCAGATGCATCAAAGTCAACAGCAAAGAAAAGTGATTCAGACAAGTATGCTTCAATTCCCTCACAAAGTTCTAATGCACCTGCAAACAATTATGAGGACGATTTTGACGATTTTGATCCTCGGGGAACTTCAAGTGCTCGTAAGTATTTGGAAATGGTACCTTTAAAATGCAATTATTTTCTTTATGTAACTCATAAGAAGGCATTGTTTTCACATTTGGAATGCTATTTTTAGCATATATCACTTCTTCCATTGATACATTTGATTTATGTTTTCACCTCTATAAAGCACACATAGACATCATCAGAAGAAGGTGAATGTACGGACAATTGCGCCAATTATAACTGAGTCGAATCTTAGGAAAATATAAGAGGACAATATTCTCTGTATGTGTTCTTGACTTCTTGCATTCAAATGCGGTGGATCTGGGCAGTCTTTGGATCAAATCCAAGCTTTGTAAGTGCTTTGCTTTGTGCATGTCAAAGAGATACTAAGAAATTAAACAAGATGGACATGTAGAAACTTTTGTGATTTGATTTAGAAAAATGCAACCCAAACTCTGTTGAGAAAAGAATTCAGTCTTGACTTGCTCTTCTTCTGCTTTATACGAGGTACAGAAGTATTTTTCTCCTCACCAACTTTTACTTTTCTGATTCATATGTATGTTTTAGCGATTTCAAAATTTTCCAAATTGAAAATTCAACATTATCGTAATGCATCAAAGCTTAGCCTCTCCCAGAAAGGCTAGTGGTTGCATTAGCCAGTATGATGCACTGGTATATAAGTGATACTTATTCAGAGAGGACAGGTATAGTTACTACAGCTTGAGTTGGTGTCAAACTTAGTAACTCGAAAAATTAGAAGACAAAATTGCTTATTAAAAGAATGATATGCATATTGGTTTGTACATTTTGGAGGAAATTAATCTGTTCAAGCATGTCACTGTAAACTAGTGCTGATGCGTTCTGAATCAGGGCAATATCTGAGGTGCTAACAATTGACAGGGAAAAGTTCTCTCTTCCCCAATTCAAGTATTTATGTGTTACCTTTTCAGCATCATAAATGTTGTTTCTCATCATTAGCTGCAAAATTTAATGGCAAAAAGTACATGTGATAATTAGAATGTGGTTAAGCATGTCTTTGTGAATTTACCTTGATGTTTGACAGAGCCAAATGCTGGAAGCTCTAACCAAGTGGATTTGTTTGGACAAAGTTTGGTTGGTGACCTGTTGGATGTGCCGGCACCAGTTTCCACAAACATGTCTTCAGTGAATATTAAAACACCGGAGGTAGATTTGTTTGCAGATGCCACTTTTGTATCTGCACCATCCCATGTAGAAGCGGGGGGAAGTTTTGAGGCTCAGGTCAGATTTTTTCTTTTTTTTGTCCCTACCATCTTTGGAGTTATCACAAAACTTGCAACGTTTTTGAAGAGGTGACTTGTATGTTAGCCTTCTTTTGAGGATGTGAGGTTGCTCCATTGTGAGGGGATGATAAAAGTACAAATGTGGAAAACAATTTGAAAAGCAACTTTAATCGACAGATAACAATAAAAGTTGCTTTAAAGAGCTGTTTGGGGCCTTGACCTTCGTGTGAGTGGGAGCTGTTTATGGTAACCCTCTTACAAGAAAATTATAGGAAAGGCACCCTACCAGAAATTTGCTGGGTGCTACCTTTTCTGCAGTTTCTTCCGCTTTAGTTGCTTTTGCAAATTGTTTTTTCCCCTATAATAGATGTAAAATTTAGGACATACATACTATCAGACAAGATGCCTTTTTGGTGGTGACTACATTTTTCACATGAGAATATGCTTGGTCCCCTTCTTTTTTTTTTTTGGTTTTGAAAAAAAGATAAAAATAGTACTAATAATATGGTAACAATTTGGTCGAGTACCATCATTCAAGAGCACCATAATACCTCAAAATTTTTAGGATTTCTAGATATTGCAAATAAATCTTTACTGGATATGAAAATTGTCAAATTTTGGGCTGAGGTAAGGGTGCACATTCTCCTCTTATTCAAAACCGAAAGAGATGGGTTTAGCCCTTTTTGGCGCTCCTAAAGATGACTTACGTTTGTAATTCTTTAGGGAAAATTGACATTAACTGAATTTATCTTTCTGACTGATCTCTTGTACACTTTGCAATGTGTAATTTTGAAGTAATAAACTGTCTGACATTAATTGGATTCATAATGCTTCAGCAAAAACATTCAGCTCCTTGGTTCATGGTTGAATGAGGGATGGTTAATTTTCATATCATACTATCACTTGATTCTGTACTTATTCAATTCATTCACGTTTCTGCAGACCAAGGTTGATCTATTTGCCTCTCAACCTGCCTCTTCCTCTGCAGTTTCTTCAACGGTCGACTTTTTTGCTGTTCCTGATCCAGTTGTACAGCCTGAGAATAAATCTTTAAAATCTGATCCTGAGGCGACTAGCACAATTGATCCATTTGCATCCGTTCCGCTGAACAGTTTTGATGGGTCCAATCTTTTTGGTGCATTCACATCTAATAGTGATTCAGTGTCGACAGAACCCTCACAAAATCCTGTCGATGATGGCAGCCATAGTATCATGAATGAAAAGTCTTCAGTCGATTCTATGCCTCCACCAAAGAAAGATTCTTTCCAAGTTAAATCTGGAATATGGGCAGATTCTCTGAGCCGAGGACTAATTGATCTTAACATAACTGCACGTAAGTTGCTTATTCTTTAGCTAATCCGATTCTCTTTCTGTTGCATCGTTGATTTGCATGTTACTGCTGATGTTAAAATCTATCAGATTTTTGTAATACCCATCACTGCACGACCATGTTATCATTTTTATTTGAACTCTCATAGGGCAACTAACACCAGAGATGCATGCCAGTGCTTTAGAGTATGATATTAAACTCGTCTTGGTAAAAAATCATGTTATGTCATTGCACCAAAAAGAGAATTATACAAGCGATAAATTAGTTTGGCCGGCTGATCCACTGATGAAATTGTTACCCACTTCCACCAGTTCTGACTTCCTAGAGGAGTGTAGCCATAATATCTTTCTTGGAAAGAGACCCCCGTTGTCAGCCACGGTTTGTTTGATATCCATTCAGCAAGTGATGCTAGTGAACGTGTAGAAAAAAACTGTTGTAAAGTTTCATTGTTCGTTCCGTCATCAATCCAATCTATGTTTCTACGACAGCCCAAGAACATGCTCATTCTTCAGCCGTAGAGATCAAACTTACAGAAAAAGTGTATTAGATGGGGGGAGATTTTAGGTTTTAATTGACATTGCTGTCTGTTAATTGTCATTGATTGCCTATATATTGAAATCACATTGTGCATTTGAAACCTACTGGCAGCGAAGAAGGTAAATCTGGCAGATGTCGGTGTCGTGGGTGGTTTGACTGATGGATCAGATGAAAAGGATAAGGGACCTCTAGCCTCATTTTACATGGGCAGAGCCATGGGTGCAGGATCTGGACTTGGTAGATCTGGATCTGGGTTCACATCCACAGCAACAGGTGGAGATGACTTCTTCTCAAGCTTTAGTAGCCAACAATACCAATTTGGTAGCCTCAAGAAATAATTTGTTTCGCTTTCCCAATTTTTTCACCCATTTTTCTCTTGATATTCCTTGTGTATTTTCGAGTGATTGGTCTTGTGCATGTTGGTGTGTTCGTTCTTGTATACATGGAAAAGATCTGGTGTATCCAAGAGTGTCTTCGCTGCTGGTCGGGATATTTGAGAAGTTTTGTTGATGTACTAGTAATTACCTTTGTGATACCAAAAATCGAATATTGATCGTGCAACATATTTTAAATATCAATTCATTTTTGCTTCTCTTTTCTTTAATTATGTATAGTAAAAATTAAAATAGAGGAAAAATAAAAGAGAGGTAGGCGTGGATCTGGGAAGGTGTTTGACATTGGGAAGCGTTGTTTGAATTTTTTGACATTGTTGGTGGTCGTGCAAAGATGTTTTTGAGTGAAAAAAATAAATTTTGAATAAATTTTGTACTATTAAATTAAATTAGATGAAAATTGGTTAATTTTGACAGTCGTTATATATTTATAAGTTGAGAATTTTAATTTTTTACCTCTAATATTAGATAAATTTTCATACAATGGTGAAGCACCTCCAGATTATGAGAGTGGAAATACATTCAATATTGAAGCACCTCAAGAGCATTAAGGGTGGAAATTCATGAAGCCCTTTTTTCTGGATTTAGATCCTTATTCAATGCACTTTTCATCAAATTTTTTTAATAGTAAATCATCTTGGATTCTTCGCCAATGCATCCCCTCATGAACTTTCGATAAAATTGGAACATTATAGAGAAGATTAGTGTAACTTATGACAATCACAAACCGAGGAATGGTCATTCACCAATGCATGCATGATGAGTGAAGTGTCGTTTAAAAAATATAAAGAAAAATGTATTGAAATAGATTTTAATCCTAAATTTTGTATGCATTATTTTCTAGGAGAGGGAGAGAGAGAGAGAGAGAGAGAGAGAGAGAATGTATTGATATTGTTGTTGTCTATTTCCCCTTTCTGGCATAAATCAAATGCTGTGCCAATCATCATATAAGCTCTTTTATGTAAAAGCAACAATGTTCTAGGCGTCACTTACCTAAACAAAAAAACAATGTTCTAATGCATCAATTGCCCAAAAAAAACAATGTTCTATGACTTACCCAAACAAAAAAACAATGTTCTATGCATCACTTTCACTTTGTAAGTGAAATCTTCCAATTCAGAAGGGAGACAAGACTATGGTACTCAAAAATTTTTTTGGATCAAGTTATAATTTTATAATTTTTAATGTTTGAATTATAATTTTTTGGGGTGAAGTTACAACTTTGGTGGTAACTTGTGATCAATCCTTTTTGGTATTTCTCACATTACGGATTTAACAGCCAAGAGTTAGTATCAACCTCTACTGGCCCACTCAAATTGATTAATTGTGCACTCTAACCATTCAATTTGAACTGATTCCATTACAAATTGAACATGGGGGCAAACTGGATCAGTCTGCATCCCTCACTTTTGAACACAACAGTGTTTGATCAGAGAATAGCAGCAGTAGCATCAGCATCTCAACCAACCGGTGATTTATGTACATAAGAATATTTTTAAGTAAGTACATGACACATTAACAGAACCGCATATTTTTGGTAAGTTTATTATTATTGTCGATAGTAATTTAAAAGCGATACGCAATGCCTAATATAAACTTCTTAAAACACATCCAGCATTCTCCCCCTTAACATTGCTTCTGCTTTCCTCGCCTGCTGTACTGGTCCAATAATGAACACCTGCATGTAAAACCATGAGGTGTAAGGAACATACACAGGATCATGGTTTCCACAAATGAATTGAGACTTTTACTTCATTTTCCAGTTGGTCTGAATGCATTGGCCAATTTTGCAATAGTACAATCACAAATTTTTCCAGTCCACCTCATCAAAAGGGTGGGTGGGCTGGCGGGATTCGTGAGCAGATTTTTTCCAGCTGAAATTCAGTTATGGCATGTATAAACACTAACTTTAATAAATTGTGGTGGCCAACTTTTGAACTACAAGGGCGTGTTATATAGCGTTACCAAGATCATTTTAAGAACCGTGATAATATCAATAATCATCCAGTCTTTGTAAATGCATCCAAAATGGTATGGTATACCTCAATTACAGGAACTTTGTGCTACGGGATTGACTCATCGATTGAGACATGAGATAATTAAACAGTAACTATCGAGAAATTCTGCACGTCTGGAAGACTAACCTTGTCAGCTGGACCCCTGGTGCCTCCAATGAAGACTTCAGCACTGCACAAATATGCTCAAGTCAAGAACAGGTGGGAAAAAAAAGTGGTGCTCCCCTATATAAGTTATACCATATATAGTGATAGAGAAACCTACTTGCAAGACTCCTTTATGGACAAGATGGAAGCCCCTCTTCTTCCAATAACACGTCCCATTTTCCCAGGCGGAACATCAAGAACACAGAGGATTTCTTCCTCAGGAGCATTCTCATCAGCAATGAGGTTATCTGAAATGGTAGAATGACCATTAATCAGTATTTATTCTAAGTACAATTTTTGCTGATGTTCCTATCATACAATCTAGCTTACAGCACATTTCTGCAGTTCAGCAAAATAGCAGTTGGCTACAGGTACCAAACAAAAATTTAAAATTCCTGTTGCTACTTGGGTACAGTGTTCAAGAAGCAGTGATAGCCACTCTTGGATGTAACAAAACCCCAGAGGAAATAATGTAAAGCAATCACATTTGTTCATGCAAATAAGTTGCTAGCAGATTGTGAGCTGAATCGAATAGTACTTCGAATGCAGTTTCAGCATCTCAGGATTGCTGAAGTACAATAACTCAACATGTGGCTTAGCACATTGAAGTGCTAAGCGACTAATATGATGAAGTATACTCCATAGTGACTGCATCTTAGACTACATATGCAATATCATAAAAAACTATATACTTCCAATAATATTTTGTCGTCTTTTGAGCACAAAAAAAAGTTTTAAAGGGCGCATTTATTCTGATATCTCTAAGCTCTGCAATAGTTCGAATATGATGATGTTTATTTAGGTCCTGCGCGAGGCGCCTAATTGTTACACTCATTTCTGTATTTTTGGAAGTAGATGGCAATCTATATTCTGTAATAATAAGCACAATTTCACTGCTTGCCAAAACTTATAATAGGAAGTGTTTAAAAAACTTAATAAAATCAACATATCGTCACATGTCATTAGTGACATATTGCATCACTTGGTAAATATGTCAGATACACCTCTTCTCTACTCAACAAAGCATTGACACAATTATTTAGAGCCCACCTCAATAATCTTGTTCGCAAACAAGCAAGCATTGTGAATAAGTTATGGATATAATGATCATATGCATGCTTAAGTGGTCTTGAATCATTGCCTGTGTTTATGGAGGTACAATGGACAATATTTTGTTATGAAAAAAAAGGCACTTTTATGACGCAGCACCATGTCTAAGTGGTGCGCATGTGCATGTTAAGCATGCACCTGCACGTGCGCGTATGTTGTCCAAAGAACTAATTGTTGCTTATTTGGGGGAAAGAGCGGAAAACCTGGGATTGGAGGGAGAGACGGCCAATCTGCAAAAGCATTGTCATTTAGGCAGTAACATCGACAATACATTGCGCCACGGACAGCAAGATACCATAAAGATTGTTGATTCAATTTCGCAACCATTTTATGATAAATATAGAGAAGAAAGCGGACATCATCTGCAGCAGCACGAACCATCAGTTCAGAGAGTTGTCTATATGTCCAAAAGTTAGGGTCCTGGAAATGTAAATGAAGAGCTGATCAAAGACAACACCACAGATCCCTCCAAATGGGTATTGCTGATAACTAAAATTAAGAAATTACATCTATATTCACACACACACACACAAAAAAAAAGCACGATATGTACTGGTGAATATGTGTAATGCTGAATGATTAAACATTAAGGAAAAATCACAGAGGACCACCTTCATTCATTGGACAGATGCGTAAGGAGGTGATGAGCCATTCACTCAAATATAAGATGCGCATGGCAATAAAGTTCATCTATATTATGGAGTTTGCCTCAGGTATATTAACAGCCTTTATGAGAGAGGGAGGGGAGACGGGCTGAAAATGCAGATCTGAGGTTTTATATTGGAAAAATAAATATATTAAAAAAATAGTACGTATAACCATCACATGAGATTGATCCATTGAACTTCATCTAAAGCAAGGACAACCAACTTTTCCTTTTTACCAAAAGACCCAGAAGTCTGCACTGTGAGAAGCAGACCAGAGGAAGGATAACTTTTGTTTTTGATACAGTTAAGAAAAGCATTTTTTGCAATTAGGGAGGGGTGAGAGGTTTGAACACAATTTTGACTGTGGGAGGTAAGCCTTTGCCAACAGGTACGACCCTGTGCCACCCGGTTTCAGAATAGTTTATTAAGAAGACACTGAAACCAACCTGCCTCAGAAGTACACGAACTTCTTCCTTCTCGACATAAGATATACCTGCATTTAAATCTCAAAGTCAAAATCCAAGCAATATGGCCGATTGAATCTGATGTGGAAGCCCAATAATATAATAGTTAAAACACCTATGTCTAGTAAAAGCAACATCAATACAGAATATTTCTCCTTAACTAAAAGTACAATAACAAGGTGCCGCAATGGCGATAGCAACAGTGGTTCATACACAAGATTAACAAGAGAAGATTTCTTTAGTTAGAACACAACTAAATTACAGAACGATATGCAGGATTCCAGCTCCAAATCATATCCACACAACAATAGGCGATAAATACATGTCAACAAAAATACCACATCCTCTAGGATTAGAGAAATGGTAGAATGGTAAAAATATTACAAAAGGGAGCACAAGATCCAGGAATATATCCTTTTGCTAAGTTATGGACAGGCACACTACACATTCTGTTGAGACAGATGCATGCATCGCCCTGAGCTTGTAGATGACCAACTGTATCATGTTCCATAATGTAAAAAGAAAATTGAAAGGAAAAAAATTCAAAAATGGAATAGCCAATAAGATTTGGTCGGATTCATATTGCAACATATAATTTCACTCTGCACATTATTTTTCTAGCTCCTACCCAACTAAATCAGATGCACACGAGTTAGTCCGGAAAATGCAAATAAAAACCACTGAAACTACAATAATGACACATGCCAAGCAAGCACTCTTGATAAAAATATTCATTAAACTGCAAAAGGTTCCAGGATCAGAAACAGACAAATCAACACCAAAAA